GGGGGCGGTACAGATCAAGCAATAATATGGCAGAGGTGAAATGAAAAAACCGGTCGTGGGGGGCGGTACAGATCAAGCAATATTTTTATTAGAGAATCTGCCACCTTCATATTTTGGTATAGTATTAAGAAATGAAAACAAAGAAATACGTCAGTGGTGAAATAAAAAAACCGGCTGTCGGGGGCGGTACAGATCCAGCAATATTTTCATCAGAGTATCTGCCACCTTCATATTTACTTATAGTGGTTTCAAGTGGAAATATAGAAATACGTCGTAAGTGAAATGAAAAAACCGGCCTTCGGGGGCGGTACAGATCCATATATATTTTTATTAGACACCCGGTTATTACCTAAGTGAAGATTTTGGTTTCTAATGACGACTGGTTGAAAATAACAGCAAACTGTTATATTTCAAGGCCACTGTGGCACTTATTTCATATATTTCCTATGCTGCCATTTCGAATAAATAAAGATGTCCACACGTGTTAATTGTTGAAAAATGAATTTTATATTCAATTAAATGGCTGAAAAATATATACAGGTTTCTATTTAACATTCTTGACTCGTGTTCATTTCCGGTTAAACTCTGTATAGATCTCAGATCATAAAAAATATCGGCTTCAATATACTTTTACCTCTATTCCGAATTTCAAATTTAATACTTCATAAACAATTTAATGGCGCTATATACAACGATCTCGTTGTCACCCAGTATATATCAAATACCACCTATCCATCACCTATCATACCACGTTCCATCAGTTAGATGGAACGACTGTTCACTGTAATGTAGCATTACGACAATTTCTAAATGAAACTTTTGATTTATTTTCATTTCTTATCACTATACCAAAATATGAAGGTCGTAGAGTCTCTAATAAAAATATTGCTGGATCTGTACCGCCCCCGACGGTCGGTTTTTTTATTTTACCTCCGCCATATTTCTTCATTTCCAGTTGTAACCACTATAACAAAATATGAAGGTGGCAGAGTCTCTAATGAAAATATTGCTTGATCTGTACCGCCCCCGATGGCCGGTTTTTTGATTTCACCTCTGCCATATTTCTTCATTTCCATTTCTTTACACTATACCAAAATATGAAGGTGGCAGAGTCTCTAATAAAAATATTGCTGGATCTGTACCGCCCCTGACGGCCGGTTTTTTGATTTCACACCTGACATATTTCTTCATTTCCATTTCTTA